AAAAAAAGACACTGAATATCACGCCATTTATTATCAGGAATCCAACACAAAAATTCTTTGGAATCCGGAATCCCAAGGCTTGGAATCCGGAATCCAATGTTTCGGAATCCGGAATCTTGCGCTTGGAATCCGGAATCCTCTAGTTCTCTGGATTCTCTTACATGGGGCGATATATCTTCACTCTTGTTTTGGCAGACTTTTTGTGCTTTTAATTTCTTAAAAAAAGAGAGAAATGCAATGAGAAGATGAAATAGTGAAACATTGTGATCCGGCATTTATATAATTTGTAAATATGAATCTGTTAGTATATGAAATAATCGTACAAAAGAATACCTCATTTGCATCCGTAGAGTTCCATTCTCACTGAAGGCCAGTTATTCCATGTCTTTGGGAGGACTTTGATGAACCTCGCTCTGATTGGAGGGTTTAGGTCATGCTTCACAACAGTATTTCGATCAGTGTTCCCTTTGAAGACTTTGCCTGCTTGATAATTCTTAAAGGTGCTGCCGTTCAAACTGTACTGCAGGCTGTAGCTTTTCATCCACTCGGATGCGCGCTTTGAACCCTGTGTTGCGATGGCCGTTAAAGTGTGAACTGTGCTCAAGTCGACCTGTAACCACGAACTGGGGCGGTAAGAAGGAGCCCAGCCATAACTGTACATGTTCAATCTCGCTTGAGATGTATGGTAATAACTAGAATAGTAGGAAGATGCTGTAATCTTGAAGTCAGGAATGACCTTGCTCTGCATTCCGAGAGGTTGGATTTTTGTGCATCGCTGGACTGTAAACCAAGCAAGATAAACGTTTCTTATTTTAATCGTGAAAGTCAACACTAASTCAGATAATGGCTCTGTGCTGCTCGCGCACATCTTTTTTAAAAGATGTAATATAATAAAAATAATGATGTAATTCAGTAATAATGTAAAATCTATCCCCCATGGAAAATAAATAGCGCTTATTGAAGATTGCTGAAACCAGACTGGCTTTGCTATCTACAGACTTTATATACGTGATACATTACATAATTCTGTGACACTGATAAATAAAACATCAGTGTTTTTACTGATACTGATATTGATTTTTTTTTAATTTGCTCGTATAAAATTTTAAAACTAAAGTCTTGATTCAACGTACCAATTTAAAAAGTTTAGTTATTCAATGTCTTTGAATTCATTGTTAGACCGCACTGTTGACGAGGACTAGAGTTCTCCCGCCCCTCCCCAGTCCCCAGCAAAACAGTGATARGTGCATAATAAATAAAATCTTCACAAATAAGGGGTGGGCAACTGTGCAATATATAGTTGTTCCGTGGTGGGTTTAAATTGATACAATGAGGACTGCGCAATATTTATCAGGAGGGGGGAGGAGAAAAAAAGTTAATTACTTCTACCCTCGCAAACGAAATAAATTACGCTCTTCCCCTCACCCCGTGAATTTATTTATTTAWTGTTCRYGAARAAAGAGTTGTTGTAAATCGTGGCGCGCTTTTTTCTTGAGAAGTTTTTTCCACTTCAATAAGTACTTTGCCAAAAAGCACAGAATCTGAAACCGTTGATGTTCAGTCTCCAAGTAAAGTTCTAATTAATTTTAGACGTTATCCCCCCTCTTTGAGCACATAAAATTAGATCGCCCCCTCTCGATTCCAGTAATGCAGTACCAATTGAAACCTGCTTTTTGATTGCTCCTTAAGTACAGCACCACTATTGTTAGGTTAGGTTTTGTTATATTGTTGGAAGACTTATCTATTGTTTGTCCATTGTTTTCTCAACCTATCATGAGACCCGTTCCGAGCGGTGCTACCTGGCTCCTCGATTCTCAACCACCACTCCTGATAGATATTGCGCAGTCCATAAAATGTGGAATAGGTTCTCAAAAGTTGATTAAATCTGAACAAATTCTCAGTTATTTTGTCCAAATAAAGTAAATGACGTCATCATGAAAATATTTCAATTAATGGGAAATATAGAGGTTTTTTTAATAAGATGATACTTTACAATGAAAATAATAAAAACTTTTATATTGTTCCTACTCACCTCCACATTTTTTGCAGGTAAAACGACAGTACGNAAGAACATAAGCTTTCACAGTTAATGAACAGGATACGGTCATGATAGCAGGCTATATAATGGCCAATCAATGCCTGTTTGCCTTATTTTTATATAAGGATAACTTAACACGATTAAGAAATTGAACTGCTTCGCGATCATGTAAATCTGTACCAGAAATGTTGTCTAAAAAGCGAGAGCCACCTTAAATTTAAGTAAGGTTCATCATGATGATCAGCTACGCGTAAGTGAAAATAGAGAAAGAACTCGAAAGAGAAAGAAACGCTACTTACGGAAAGTCTTGAGGCAAAGCTTTTTCAACTTTGTGCTTGTAGTCAAGGAACCCTTGGTTTTCAAGTATCGACAACTAATGGTACTCAAGATGTCCTTGCTCAAAGAACCACGTTTTGAAACAGTTTCTTGTGGATCTGAAACAAAGATTGTAAACGAGAGACTTTTATTTATGGAGATACTTATATTGATTGTATGGCGATAGCTTGTCCTTTTAAATAGATAAGCGACGAMACTCAAAATTCAAATAATGGTAGTATGCAGAATTTAATGTTTGCCGTACCAAATTCAAGTTTCTTTTCTTAGACATGCGAAAGTCATTGTTTTGATCTCATTTGTATTAGGAGTAACAGTTTTGATATTACATGCACCAAACTACGGCTAATTTATAGCTCATAACTTTTCTTAAAAATAAATAAATAAATAAAATGCATAGTTTTGACCTTAAACTATATATCAGTTTTGGCCTCTGAAACTTGTTTATAAAAAAAATTTGAACGGACGGACGGAAGTTCAACTTACGAACTTTTAAAAAAGTTCGGCGTATTATCTAGTTCTTTAGTCTGCTGGAAAGCTCGGAATAAAAATCCAAATTACTTTTAAAACCTTGAAATGAACAACGGATATATTTGATCTTCACCTTRTTAACTGAACATTTTTTCATTAACATATGCTATTTTATTCCTTAAAATGTTATACCTTGAAAAAAGTTTCCTTCCTTTGTCGCTGCAACCACCACCCCGAACAGAACAGCATATATCGTCAGCGTTTTCATATCTACTGAGGATTAAAGTAGTTCAGTAGATCTTGATCATCAGACAGCTAGAACGCCAAGTGAGTATGAGGCGGTTTAGAGATGTTACTAAAGCATCTYAAAACAATAGTAAGCGTGGTCGAAAGCGGATATTCCTATTTTTAGGAACTAAGACAATTAAACAATAGTTGTTAAAACTCGTTCGTTCGTAGAGGGATGTTCAATCCAAAAAAACAGGGTCACGTGACCTATSATTTTGACTAGTGGTCGAGAAGGTTAGGGCTAGGGTTGATGTTTGRWWAGGGGTTGAGGTGCTGACTAGGTTAGTGCTAGAGTTTGGCTTAGTGTTTAACTTTAGGGCTAAGATTAGGATTTTAGCCAAGGGCTAGTCACATGACTTGCCTCTCGCAACAATAATTGAGACCATAACTGAAATCTGTACTGACATATTGCAGTGTCCCAGTAACTACAGCTTTCTGGCTATGCGTAGAGATCTTGATCATCATCACCCCCCCGGAATAATATCAAAGGGCGGGGATCCTCGGCGTCCCTTTTAGGGTTTGAAATCAGTATTTTGGTCCCGCTTAGGGTGATCATGACAAGAATTCCTACCAACTGAGTTTTGTGGTCCCTTTTAGGGTATACGGCGACCCTAAGCAGTCATAAAATGGCAACGTCGTCATAAACTCAATACGAGCCGACGGTGTTCGATGATTGTGTAAAAACACAAATAAAATCGGTAAACCAAAACAANTTGTACGTATTTTGAGGTTGAATCAGTCATGGCCTTGCACAACTTTGTTTTACGTACGATACAAATTGCAAAATGACTAAACATTAACATCCTCTATGAGATTATGAAATAAAATATTTCAATATTGAAATAAAACTTAAATTTTTTTGTGTTTGAAGAAAAAGTTGAAAGAAAAATTTTCTGCTCTGTTCATTCAGATGTGACCAGTTTGGCTAAAACAATTGTTAAAGAAAAGATTGTGCACGGTCACGCTTGGAAAAAAAGTGCACAAAAACCTAACAACAAAAGGCTTCCTAACCATTTCCCTCTACAAACTACGTTTAAAATCAGTGAAAACTTATCAGATAATCGTCATTGTATATATTCGTACGTAAATATGGATACAGAACTGCTGCAAGTAACTTTTATTACAACCCATATACATAAAATGATGTTAGCATTATAAATATTATATAATTGTACAATATTATAAATTTATTATGCCAATGACACTCGATACAAGAGACCAAAAGTTAATGCCTATCTAACATTAGTAGTTAACTGACTTTTGGTAAAAAATATAGTAGTTATCTGACTTTTGGTAAAAAATATAGTAGTTATCTGACTTTTGGGGACCCCCACTGACACCCTCATGCACAGTAAATGGAAATTTTCACAAATGAGGGGCAGGGAACTGTTAGTTGTCTTGAGGGGTTCAAAAAACATAAGGGGGCAGAGGGTTTCAAAAAATAAAGCTGAACAAATTCTCAGTTATTTTGTATAAATAAAAGTAAATAACGTCATTTGGAATATTTCAATTAATCAAAAATTAGATTAGGGCGTTTCAATCAAAGTAACAATTTCAAACTTTTCTACTCACCTCCGGCTCCACATTTGTTGCAAGTAAAACGACAGTAMGTCAGACTAAGTTTGTTGTCTTTTCCACAATCGTTTCTYCCCTTGACGATTTTGCAGCATTGTTTTGAAAGAACGTCATTGCAATCTATTAAAAGGATAAGAACGTAAGCTTTCACAGTAAATGAACAGGATGGGTTATTATGCAATACTGATAGCAGGCTATGAGGGCCAATCAATGCTTGCCTTAATTTTATAAGAGTAAATTAACACTATTAAGAAATGGAACTGCTTCGAGAAGATGTAAATCTGCACCAGAAATGTAGTCTATGAAAAAGGGAGAGCCACTTAAAATTTTATTTAAGTTCATCAAAATGATCAGTTCCGCATAACTGAAAAGACAGAAAGAACGTGAAAGAGAAAGAAACGCTACTTACGGAAAGTCGTGAGGCAAAGGTTTTTCAACTTTATGTCTTTGGTCAAGAAACCCTTGATTTTCAAGTATCGACAACTGAAAGCACTCAAGATGTCCTTTCTCAAAGCAACACGTTTTGCAACAGTTTCTTGTGGATCTGAAACGAATATCGTAAACGTTAGAGTATCGCAGTGGACTCGACTCCCGGGACTAGCGGAGCAGTGACGCGTTTTTAACGTGCTTTTAACAACAAAATTGCCCCGCGGGCTCGGTATTGGATGAATTGTTTTCGAAGAGGGGCAAAGACCGGGGATTTTAATGCTCGTTTGAGCCTGGAAAATAGAGGTCGGCCACCCGAAAATAAAATACCCAGAAAGCAATGGTATTCATAATCAACCAAGATCAGGCTGCTGTGCTATGACAATAAAGAATGTGATACTATGATGTATCACCTCTCATGTATTGGTCTCCGAGGTGCGCCTTCAGAAACATGGCCCTCCCCCAAGTGCAAAAAAAGTACAAATCAAGCCTATTTGTTTGAGTTGGATCGGAAAGGTGTTTCTTTTGTTATTTACTTTTAGACCAAAATAGCGGGASCACAGTAGCGGGTGTTTTAACAGTGAGTGTGCCCCCGACAACCGGGGAAAATGTCTTATATATTCCATCAAACACCACTCAAACGTAAAAT